TGTTGTTGTTGTTGTTGCTGCTGTTGTTGTTGTTGTTGCTGTTGTTGTTGTTGTTGTTGCTGCTGGTGTTGTTGTTGTTGTGGTGGTGGTGGTGGTGGTGGTTGTGGTTGTTGTTGTTGTTGTCGTTGTTATCGTTGTGGTTGTGGTTGTGGTTGTGGTGGTTGTTGTTGTTGTTGGCTGTTGTTGGTTGTTGGTTGTTGGTTGTTGGTCGTTGGTTGTTGGTTGTTGGTTGTTGGTGGTGGTTGTTGTTGTTGTTGCTGCTGTCATTGCTGTTGCCGGTGTTGCTGCTGTTGACATTGATGATGATAAACTGACTAACTGTTCGCATTACAGGTCCGAGGTTGGTCATGGCATTCATTGTGTTTTGGGGATGCATCTTAGGATAGAATGTTGGGACCACTCGACGTGTTGCGGCATATCGAGGCAAGTTGTCATGCATTTCGTGCGAAAGTGAATTCTTGTCCCACACAGCCTTCACCACCTCGTCTCCGACAGGGCTCACACGGTCTGGTGTTTCCGAGGTTTACGTAGAGTCGCGGGCAGTCTAGTTTTCCAGAATCTTGATTCTCAAAGGCCACAAAGCTTATCCTCAGCGATGGTGAGGTCCAGGAGGCGACGGATGACTTGACAGCTTGTAGTCGGTTCTCACTGGTAATTGGTCATGTTGATTGCCTTCACTGCCTCCATGAGGTTAGGTTTGTAGCATTTTGTAGCTTCTGCGGGAGTTGGCATTTAACGGCATAATGGTCCTGAAATTCAGGCAGACTTTCGGAGTTCAGATCCAGACGCATCAGCCGAAACCGGTTCGCCCCTTCTTCTTATAATACGTTAACTGGGCTGGCGCACAGGCGACCTTGACACATACACAGGCGATGTCTTGCAATAGGCAGGAGTCGGGGAAGTCCCTTTTAAGTGAGTTGTCAGTCGCATATTTTTCAGTTGGAGATGGTGAACTGCAAAGGCCCTCCTGAAGAAACGCCTTGGTCCATGCTTCATTTACAGACTTTGCCGAGCGGTTGCAGCAAAGTCTCTGCTTCCGCTGCCTGAGCTCCATGCCTCATGAGCCTTGTCCTATCGGACAGACAGCGTGGTCAGATTCCAGAAGCTTGTGGTCCTGTACAGTACTCGTACAGTCGTAAAGGTTACTAACAAATGTTCGACTTATTCGACAGCTGAATGACACTTATCATGGCACACCCCGATCAAGATTGACGAATGTTCCTGACACGAAACTGCTGGGTTGTTGACAGCCGCAAAAAAGCTTGGCCATGAGAGTTCAAGAGCAGAGCAAGCCGTAAATCGCCAGGTGTTTGACAGTTTCGGCGTACTTCGCCTCTTGCGTGCCTTGGGCTTCAAGGGCGATCCGTGGAGGTGGAGATTTCGGGTGGACCTACAGTAGACAGCCTGCTAACTTCAGAGTGTTGAAATGTACTAAGACTTCATGATTTCGGTCCGACGATCTGTCTTGCCGGCAACTCGGTGCGGGCCTACATCCCATGAACCGCTGACGAATACATCCGAACCGCGGTCTTTGCTGCAAAGACCCAGAAGCTTCAGGGCACTGTGGCTGAACCCTGCAACCACCAGAGTCAAAAGTCAACCACGAGGCAAATTCGAATATTAAGTTGTGAGTGAGGGGATGAGGTTCGATGATACCCTCAACAAGCCCTCATCTCCAATGGCGAAGTGCGAAGTCGGCGGCCAAAAACCAACTTAACAACCCCAACCAGAACCCAACCCCTGTAGGCCTTGAGCCGCTCCCTGAAGCCTACTGTAGTCCCAAGGCCTTCTCTTCAGACTCTGGGGAGACCTCAGCCTCATGAAAGCCTAATCCCCACACCAGGGCTCGGGCGCATCGTCCGCCTGGTGCGCATGGTGCGGCTCATACCGGCCCTCAAGTCAATGGTCTACCTAATCCTGGCGCCGGGCCTCTCAGTGGGCTGTGCGGCTGCGAAGTGTACTCGATACCTTTGGCTTTCAGTGCTTCGGGCTTGTCCAGTCATCAGGAAAGTAGTGGCCGGGTGGCGCGTATAGTGGCATAGTGCAGATGGAAGTTGACCGAGGTCCCAGGCTGCAGGCTGTTCTTTGCATCAGCCTCAATCAGTAGTCGGAAGCTCCACTAACTTCCCGAAGCTGCGTGTAGGGCCTCATGGCAGGCGTAGTTTCTCAACTAGGTTGCTTGCAACGGCGAACCAAAGATACTCGGACTTTTTGCGATGTGGAGGCTCTCCTTCAAAATCTGAAAAAACCGTGCGCCGTTTGGGCTGTGAGTGCTGAAGCGTCACTGCCCATCGTCGAGCGGTGCAGGCTCCGTGGTGGACATACCAGATAGAGATTTATTTCCTGATGATGTAAGAGGGTTTGAGTTAGTACTCGTATGAGTTCACAGTTCCGGAGTTAAGGCTGAGACATCCACGCTTCACAGCCCTCTTCCAGATGGAGCCGGGCGAAGCGGCGGTGGCGGCGGTGGCAGCAGTGGCATCAGCAATAGAAGCAGCAGCAGCAGCAGACGCAGCACAAGAAGGTGAGCGCCAAAGCCATGCAGCTCCTGCTCCAGATGAGCCGGCAGCCCGGAAGTGATGATAATGATGTTTAAGATTGTGGCAGGGATACCTTACAGTCTCGTAAATATAAGTCTGCGGAGACGGTGTTTGTCTCTCGTTCCTTTAGCACTTGTGCGTTCGCACGTGCGAACAGGTTGATTCGAAGCGGGCTTGAGGTAGATGTTTAGGTGTTCCTGAACCTTACGCAACATCCCAGAACCAACCCATAACAGCTCCCCCAGACATGGAAGAGGCGCTCGGTGTCGGAGAGACCCCGGCTCGACCTTCAGCATCACCTGCTCCAGATCCGACGAAGGCCTGAACTCAATTCCTAAGTTAGTCTTTGGGAGAGTTACTTCTACCCGCAGGGATTGTACGCATTGGCAATGGCAAAGCAGCACCAGCCGCATGCGTGTTGCTGTTACTGCTACTGTGAAATCTCCCCTACCGCGTTCGAGCCCAACACTGGTCTTGCTCGGCATATGTAGTTCTTTAAGTGGACTTGGGCGGGATGCCCCGTCTCAACCACTGCTGAATAATTCTACCCCGTCCAATCAGACTTCTAGGTCCGCTTGCGCAAAAGCCACGAGCCGAGTCCAGGTCATGAGGAATGTTTTCCCGTGCTTGAAATTGCCTGAGCGACTGGCCATTGCGAGCATATGCCGAAGTTGGTACCGAGTTCTCCCTCCCCGTGATGCAGAGGTTTCACGAGCTGTGCACGAGACTTAGCAAAATAGTTCGCCTCGTCCATCTCGAACTGTCGTGCACTCCAGCTTTCATCCTAAAGCTTTTGCATCGGCGAGCACCTGTCCTGTCGGGAATGGTTGAGGTACGCGGATTGGCCTCGGTCATCGACAAGAACTGGTCTGTGCAGTTCCGTCACAACGACTCACAGGGCTGGGACTCTATTTCCGTCCAACTTGAGTATCGTGGGCGATCTTTGGCGCTGAGGAAAAAATTCCGGCCTCGCTTTGTGGGGATCTGTTTTGGACGATTTCAGATTCCAGATGCATGGCGGAAGGCCGACCGGCACGCGGTCAGCGATCAACACAGACAGCTTGAAGCGGTCATGAAGAAGTATGGATTCAGAAAGGCTGACCAGGGAGAAGGGAAATTTGAGTTCTTGAAGGTCATGGTGGGACTCGATGTCTTAATCGACCACATTGATGACTAGATCAGTAGTTTCGCAACCTGCAGCCTCATCTTCAAGCGACGGCCTGTGCGTTGTCTCTTGTTTGTGGAGGGGCCGATCGGGCCAGTCAGCAGTACAGCCGCTGATTTCTGCCAGAGGAAAAGTCCCGCGGTTGGGCCCCAGGCTCGAAATCGCAGTAGTGGGAGACGTGATGCCCCTGGTCCTGCGTGCTTGTTCCTGGAAATGTCTTGATCGTCCGATGATGTTGGGCCCCTGTGCTTGTAGAGGCTTCGATGAACAGAACAAACCAGCTTCAGAGGGCATTCAATATCCCCAAGCCCAAACCCTTAAAAAGGCAACGTGGCTCCCTAATGCCGGAGACCTGTATTCCCGTCTAAGATTTGCAGGCTTGCGAGCATTGCCACGTGATTTGCCATTGGAGAGTGTGTGACGGTACTGCGCTCCATGTCTTAAGACCTGCAGCCCGAAGCTGTTGCCAAGAGCCTCCCCTGGTTGTCGAGCCAGCTAGAGCTTACCGAGGTCGTTGAAAAGCTTTCTCTGGACGGTGGTGCTGCTGCTGCTTGGATGCGTTCATTGCGAGACAGACCTGTTTTAGGAGCATCAGCACATCGGACATGATCCTTCAGTTCTATAGACGCCGTGTTGCCGAGGTCCATCCGGAACCCTTGTGACCAGCCCCGGTGTCGTCGACTGTACCTCATGGAAGAACCCCCAACAGCTTTTTCTTTCAAGCCCGCCATCTTTGGCTGGACACAGGCTTATCCTGATGTACTGCGTGGCTGTCACTCGGATTGGTGCAAAACGGGCGATCAGATGTGTGTGTGTGTGTGTCTGTCTGTCTGTGGGTGTGTGTGTGTGTCTCTGTGTGTGTGTGTGTGAGCTCTCTCTCTCTCGCTCTATCTCTCTCTCTCTCTCTCTCTCTCTGTCTGTCTCAGCTTTGGCATTAAAACTCAGATGTTTCGACATGCGGCTGTAGGTTTCAGCTTCGAGACTATAGTGACTATAGTCTTCGAGTGAAGCATAGGGCTTTCAATGACTGAAATAATAGGCAATCGGAAAGTTCCAGGCTCACTCCTGCAGTTCTTGCGGAGTGTACTAAGGGTTCAAAGTCCCATCACCTACCCTCAGGCCCTCAGCCCTTCTAGGACTGGCATTTATACATGCTGAGGCTTCCTGTTTGGATTCGGGCGCTTGAGTCGCCCGGTTCAACCCGACCCTATACTCTGTTGGGCTACGCGCCCTTTCCTTACATCCTGACCTCACACCATCAGGGGAGCAGAGCCTTGCTGGAAAAACTCCAGGTCTACTTCACGGAATTGGCCTTCGACTTGCAGCACAAGCATCCGGAGAGCCGGGGGCGAAGGGTTGAATTCTCCCTTTTCCTCGGAGAAGAAGACGCCAAAAAACAAACAACTTGAAACAGCTCAAACCTTGAAGTCGAGGATCCTCACCATCAGTAGTTAATGAAGCGAATGTCCGCTGTTTAATTACATATCTCACATGTACCAGTAGAGCATGCTGTGAAACCCCAGCGTCCCTCGTACTCGCAAAACCGCTACACAGGCGTGTGCGCAAGTAGTCACCACGACGCCCATGTGGATCGCAACCCTGCTACTCGCACTCATAAACCCTTGACCGCAACCATAGTCAATCCTGGCTCGGCCTGCTCTACGGGAATGAATCAGCGATATGGCCGATGTTGGTAGGGCTGATTCTTGTGACAATCGTGGTAGCATGCTGCTGAACTTCGGGCACACTAATTATGCAGGAGCCAAGGCAATGGCCTCAAAAGAGCCTGAAACTGTCAGCACCCTGAACGCCAAGACCCATCCCGCATCACCAAACACGGAACCGCAAGCCCCAAACCTTCAACCCCTTCTTCCCTAGTAAATCGAAGGACAAAGACTTCTCGTCGGTTAGACAGAGCTGGGGCCGCTTGTGCGCGATTTCCCTCGAAGTGTCGGGTTGTAGGCTTCGCCATCGGCATGCTAAGCCTCAATGTAAAGGCGACATCATTCTAGGATGTTTGAGTTCTGAAGGGTCTCAGGGGCTTCCAGACTTCCAGAGGTAGGAGAGTGTCAGGCTTTGTGGTTTGTAGTTTAGGGTTTTGGGGGTGAGTTTGGGGGAGGTGTGGAAGGGATCAGCTCAGCACTTTGAGTCTCCGTAAGTCCCAAACATGCCAGGATCCATCGGCAGTTCGATCCTGTCCCTCTTCCAGGCCATCACTGGAGGAGATGACTGGCCGCTGGGCTTACTGTTGAAGCCAGCCTTCATTTTGTGGAGGGAGCAGAACATGCCCTTTGCATGTCGAAGAGCTACGAAATAGTTCCAAGGTTCTTGCGTACACCCTAGCTTTGGCTTGACGTGCCAATCTTCCAAAGAGAGCAAGTCAAGCTTCCGAGAACACCCTGGAGATATTCCTTGCCACCAGATAATACTCTGCTAGTGATTTGACTGGCGCTTCGTGTCGAGCTGTCGGTACCCCGGGGAGCCACCGACAGAATGATGGAAGGCTTGCACAACTTCTGGGACAAGTACCTACGGCCTTTTTGTAGAGCCTACAATATTCAGAGGCCCAGCTTCGCTTGGAGCTCAGGCAGAACTTCATCCTTGTGTTTCGGGATGTGTCTGGGGACAGCAGCCTGGTGCTTCTCGGACTGCGCAGAGAGTACGTCAGGTCGGGGACAGTTGATCCAGAGTGGCCAGTAATTAGTGGCTGTGATCCTTTCCCTGGACGAATACCATGTACATTTTTGTTTCTTCGCTGTGAGCATACTGTTTGCTATCGACCTGTCTGTCCGTCTTTCTACCCGGGATGCTTTTCTCTGTCGTTACACACGCATACCCACGCTGATATAAGTCTATTAATGACTGGATCATCGCCTCAAGAGGTCGGCAATCTCCAACTTGCTGCATGATGCAAGATTTTTTGCGAATCTACCTCGGCAAAGACAAAGCGGGGTCGAGTTGTGGATTTAGCAGTCTTTGTCTGGCATTTCACGTTGGCGTATAGCGAGTTTGGAACGAGTTGTCCTTTCCAGAGGGGTTCGTCCCGGCAGCAAGGAATACATTGGTCTTCTCCTTGTTCATCGCCTTTGCCACGCTTGCTCCTGCCTCAGCAACCCAACAACGCACCCAAGGATCATACTTGAGTGCTTCATGGACTCCCCCTTTGTTCTATAGAACTTGGTGATCCAGATGCGGCAAGCCGACAAGTGTGAAAATCGGGTTGATTATGGGGACTTGAGGATGCGCAAGACCCCCACAGCAAAGGAAGTGGCCACTGTTTCCCAAAAAAGATGCACCTTCTTTGCTTCGGATTTGCATCCAGACCACCCCTAGGCTTTTATGGGACCCTGCATAAGTTCACATCTATGTCCTGATATGTATGTACATGTGACACTCGCGCGAGAGATAGAGAGATTTACATATGCATAAGATATATTGGTATAATCATACATACATACATACATACATACATACATACATACCTACATACCTACATACCTACATACCTACACACAGCTACACACACCTACACACACCTACATACATATACATATACATATACATATACATATAAACATACATATACA